GTGGTTTGTTGTGGTGGTGGCGGTGGTGGTGGTGGCTGCGGTGGGGGTGGTTGTGTAGTGGTTGAGTGGTGGTTGAGTGGTGGTGGTGGTGGTGGGTTGAAGTGGTGGTGGTTGTGGCAGTGGTGGTGGGAGGTGGTGGTGGCGTGGTGGTTTGTGGTGGTAGTGGTGATGGTGGCGGCGGTGGTGGTTGGCTGTGGTGTTGGTGGTGATGCTGCTGGTGGTGTTGCTGGTGGTGGTGGGTGGTGGGTGGGTGGTGGGTGGGTGGTGGTTGTGATGGTGGTTGTGGTGGTGGCGTGGCGGTTTGTGGTGGCGGTGGTGGTGGGTTGTGGTGATGGCGGTGGTGGTGGCAGTAGTGGTGATGGCGGTGGTAATGGTGTGATGGTTTGTGGTGGCGGTGGTGGTTGTGGTGGGTTGTGCTGAGTTATGGTGGTGCTGGTGGTGGTGGTGTTTCTGGTGGTGGTGGTGTAGTGGTTTGTGGTTATGGTGGTGGTTTTGGTGGTGGTGGGTTGTGGTGACTGTGGAGGTGGTGGTGGTGGTGGTGGTGGTGTCGGTGGTGGTGGTGGCATTGTGGTTTGTGGTGGTGGTGTGGCCTTCGGTTCTTCCCGCAACCGTGTGATGGATACCATTTGCGGTCTCGTCAGATGGGTTTCGGGGGCGTGTGAGGAGCATGTGTGAAGCTTCGTGGGCCTTCCTAAGGGCTTTTCGGTGGCCTTTGGGGAGCGACGGCTCGATATGGCGATTTGTGTTCCCTCTGCGGCCTTTGGGCCCGCTCTGGTCATCGTCGCTGCGTCCCCGCCGTCGGCGCTGCTGGCCGCCGCCAGCACCAGCGCCTGCGCCAGCGCTGGGGGGGGGGGACCTCCCCCCCCTCCCTCTGGGCCCTCTCTGGCCTCCTCTTCCCTTCTCCTCCTCCTCCCTTTTCCTCCCTTCTCCTCCTCCTCCTCCTCCTTGTCCTCGTCCTCCTCCTCCTCATCATCATGGCCACCCCTCTCAGAGACGTCTCTTGCGAACCCGAGCGACGCGGACGCCCGGCGCCACCGCGAATCGGCATCGCATCCACGAGACCCGCATCACGATCGGCGACTATATCCTGAGGGGCAACGATGATGGAGGGACTAGCATAGGAGGCTCCTCCTCCTCCTCCTCCTCTTGCTCCTCCTCCTCCTCCTCCTCCTCCTCCTCCTCCTCCTCCTCCTCCTCCTTTTCCTCCTCCTAATCCTCCTCCTCTTGATCCTCCTCCTTCTGATCCTCCTCCTCCTCCTCCTCCTCCGCATCCTCCTCCTCCTTCTTTTCCTCCTCCTCCTCCCATCCACTTGGAATCGGCGATAAATCGCCGACAGATCGGCGATAGGCCCAAGATAGCGAAACCGCGCTTTCCTGGGCGGGGTGGAGCATCAGACCCCTATCGGCGATCAATGGGCGATTGGGGGTCGATGCATCCCGCCGATGCCAATCCCCCCTATCATTGCCCCTGATATCCGTATCCGCGCCTTCGCGGTCTGGATTCCAGGGCGCGATCCCGCGGATACAGTCGGACCTAGGAGAGAAGAGCATCCGTCAAGAACATGAGAGCCTCCGCCGGCCAAAACACCCCAATCCACATAAGATCGCTCGAGGGCGCCCTCTCCCAGGAAGCATGAGAACATCCAACAAGCACGAAGAGTACCCTCCCCGAACCGACCTTGACCTTATACCTCGGTCTGGCCATACAATGAACCCGTAACACGAGGATGCGCGGTAGGGATGCAAGGGCCTAGGAGGTCCATGCGAACGGTTTTCAAACGAGGTTGGCCAGCGAGAGTCGCCAAGTATGGGCCGAAGGGGCAAGGGGATGCAGGGGTACCCTTGGGAAGGTTGCCCATCCCTTCTATAGAAAGGAAAAATACACATAAACTTCGACGGTCCGCCCGGATTTGTAGGATCTGCGCCGGAGCGCGCCAGGGGCGGCGCCAGAGGCGCCGCCAGGGGGCCCCCGCGCAGATCCGAGAAATCCGCGCGAAGCGTCGAGAATTGATGCTTGTGTGTTTTCGCTCTCTGCAGGATGTGTTTATGTTGATGTTCATGTGTTTATGTCGATGTTTATGTTGGTGCTTATGTCGATGCTTATGTGTTTATGTTGATGTTGATGTTGGTGTTTATGTCGATGATTATGTGTTTATGTTGATGTGTATGATGATTGTGTGTTTTCGCTCTCTTCTTCGATGCTGTGCGGGTTGACTGCACGCGGTCGCACGGGCGCGCTCCGCGCGGAGCCTCCGCGGAAAAACACAAGGGCGCCGCCCGCACGCCAGGGGCCGCGGCTCGAGGGCCCAGCCCGCGTGCACGGCTTCGGGAGCGGCCAAGAGGGGGGGGTGTCCAAGAGGAGGGGGTGCAAATCATGACCGGCGGCATGTGCGCGGCCCAGCGGGGGGGGCCTGGGGCGTAATGAAATAAGAAGAGGCGCTATGAAATCTGAGGAAAAATCATGGCCCGCGCCAAGAAATCCACCCCCCCCTAGTCATCACCCCCCTCTTTTCCGCCCCCGACGGCTAGGGGCCAGAACGCACAGTGGGCCGGGAGCTCCCAAAAGGGCCCCCCTCGTGCTGCGCGCAGTCGGGAACATTGCATTCGTAGGGGCAAGAAAAAAAAGAATTGCACGCACTGCATGTGCGCAAACTTTGGGAGGTCTGCCGCGCTGGACAACCCCTCCCCATCCCTGGCGCGCGGAGCCCACCATGGGGCGGCGCCGGAGGCGCCACCAGGGGAGCGCAGATCCAAGAGAAATCGGCGAGGAAAGTCGACCGCCGTGAGGATGAGCAGGAGGGGAAGTCAACTGGGGGGCCCATTTCCCACCACGCCTGCCATAGGTAGGATCGGGACGAGGAGGACGAGGAGGAGGAGGAGGACGAGGAGGAGGAGGAGGAGGAGCTCCTCGTCCTACGTATGGTAGCGGTGGCGGAAAATTTGCCCATCGTCAACTGGGGGGAGGGAGGCCGTAAAGCTGCTCCTGCCTCCGCCTCCGCCCGTGGCCCAAGGCGTCCCCAGGATCCCCGGGGAGGCCCAAGGTGCCTCCAGAGCACCCCTCGCGAGGCCCCGAGGGGCGCCCGGGGACTCCGCGTCCTGCTCTGGGGCACTTCGCCGTGGCACCCGTCCGCAGCGAGCCCCTCCGTCCAAGGAGGAGGTGAGCGCGAGGTCGGCGTGCCGTGAGCAGCATTCGTGGAGGCAGCCACTTCGGCGAGGAGGAGGAGGAGGAGGAGAAGGAGGAGGAGGAGGAGGAAGAGGAGGCGGAGGAGCAGCGCATCCACTGTGCTTCACTTGTTGCGACAAGCAAGGGGACGCCTTGGGCCAGGATCATCTCAGGCAGCACTCGACCGACCTCGGCCCGCGCAGACGCTCCGCTTTGCACCGCGCGCTGCTCAGCGGGCCGAGACCGGACTGTCCTCACAACGAAAGAGCCCGGCACACTGTATGTGACGTCGGCCTGGCTGAGCTGGCTGCGCAGGCTGCTGGATGCAGCAGAGCCTGCTGCGGGCAAGACTCGTACGTATCCGTATCCACTGCGCCTTGGAGTTTCGACCTCCCTTCCCCAGACACCCGAGGCGCAGGGGATATGGACACGAATCTGGCCCCTGGAGGCTAGATTCATACCCACATCCAGTGCGCATCGGCATTTTGGCGCCCATTCCCGGAAAGTCCAAGACACAATTGATATGCACTTGATACTGGGTTGCCAAAGGTGCCCCCGGCACAAGGCACCCCCAGCTTTTCGCCCAATCTTGGAGCCCCTGGGGCCCTCTGGGCCTCGTGAGGGGTGCTCTGGAGGCCGTGGGGCCCTCCATGGAAATCCTGAGAGCACCCAGACCCCAGACGTCGTGATTTTGTTCGCAACGTCGGCCCCAAAGGTCTGGACCCCTTCCCTGGGACTGGTTTTTCATCCTGAGCCGTTTTTTGACGCTCCTGGGGCCCGACAGGGGCCCCCGGAGGCCTAAAATAGCGAAAACCGCCCGTCGTGATTTCTGTCTCAACGCGAGAGGGTCTGGGTGGGGGCCTCCATGGAAATCCTGAAAGCACCTTAGGGCCAGGGGCGCTTCTGGCAGCACCCGGAAAATCTTGCCCGCAGCTGCGCGCGCGCGCTCCGCAGGGAGCACGCGGAGCGGGCCCGGCAGCGAGGCGGGCCAGGAGCGCGCCAAAGGCTCGGGGGCCGCGCGCAGGCAGCCCCCCCGGGAGAGAGAGTCCCGACCCAGCCTCAACCCGGAATCCTCCCCCCTCCGTACAGTCATGGTCCTCCTCCTCCTCCTCCTCCTCCTCCTCCTCCACCACCATCTCCCGCCTCCCTCCTCCTCCTCCTCCGCCTCCTCCTCCTCCTCCTCCTCCTCCTCCTCCTCCTCCTCGTCCTCCTCCTCCTCCTCCTCCGCCTCCTCCTCCTCCTCCTTCGCCTCCATCTCACTCCTCCCTTCTCCTCCTCCTCCTCCTCCTCCTCCTCCTCCTCCTCCTCCTCCTCCTCCTCCTCCTCCTCCTCCTCCTCCCCCTCCTCCTCCTCCTCCTGCTCCTGCTCCTCCTCCTCTTCCATCTCACTCCTCACTCCTCCTCTCCCCCTCCTCCTCCTCCTCCTCCTCCTCCTCCTCCTCCTCCTCCTCCTCCTCCTCCTCCTCCATCCTCCTCCTCCTCCTCCTCCTCCTCCTCCTCCTCCTCCTCCTCCTCTTCCCCCTCCTCTTCCATCTCACTCCTCCTCCTGCTCCTCCTCCTCCTCCTCCTCTTCCATCTCACTCGTCCCTCCTCTTCTTCCTCCTCCTCCTCAGCCATTTCGGCTCCATCAGAGGATTGGGCCGCCCACCTGCTGGAGTTTGTGACCAGCACAGTATTCGAAGTGGCATTGCTCTCCCGAGCCACAACATGAGCAATGGCACCTGGGATTGCGCCGCGTGCGGCGCCAAGGGATGCTCTCGCAATCACACGAGGTTCTGGAAATGCTGGGCATGGAGAACGGGCGAGGGCGGCCGGCAGCGAAGCCGCCCCAGCCACAGCCGCAAGGGTGATGACCAGCAGCCAAGGCCAGAGGCTGACGCCCGTGAGGAGGCGAACAAGAAGCTGGCGACTCTGCGGGGCCGCGTGAGCGACCTGCACGCGCAGGCCGCCGAGGAGGACATGGAGTTCCTCGGCGAGGCAGCGGACCGAGCGCAGAAGGAGGTCCGCCGCCTAGAGGCCCAAAAGGAGCAGAGAGTATCGCGGTGCTTTACTCAGGCGCAAGTGAAGCGAGGGCGCCGCAGGGTGGAGACAGGGACGGCATCGAGAAGCGGATCGAGGCCCTCAACGTCAAGGCAGTGGACATCCAGAAGGAGCTGGCGGAGAAGTCCAAGCTCGAGAAGAAGGAGTCGCGTATCCAACAGCTGGAGGCCAAGAGGTCGCAGCTGGAGCAGCACACTGTGCCCACCGACGCGGAGGGCCAGTGGGGCACGGCGGTGGAGCAGGCCGAGGCGCTGCTGCAGGAGCACACGAAGGAGACTGCTGACACGGACCTCAAGGCCGAGCATGAGCACTTGAGGGAGGCCCACGCGATGGTCAAGAAGAGGCAGCGGGCAGTCGCGGAGGAGATGGAGAAGGCGAAGGCCGAGGCCGAAGCCCAGCGCCCGCGCTCCCGGCGACCTGCTGGATGGCTGCTCTCTGGAGCTGCGCGCGCCGCCATCCTGACGGGAAGCAGCCACGCCAACAGCACAGCACGACGGCCAGCGCCAACGCGGCCAAGTCCCTGGAGCACGTGCTGGGGCTCGCGAGTACCAGGGCCGTGGCACGTGGCCAGGAGCTGTCCATGGGCATGGCCGACTCGGGGTAGTAGTCGCAGCGCATGGCTCGAAGGGGCTGGAAGACTGCAATGGTGCCCAGCGTGCGCACTGCGGACGGAGGATGGAGCGCGGGCACGGCAGTCGCGGTGCCCAAGCACATCGCCATGAGCTTCGTGGGCGGGAACCTGCGGAGCGCCTGGGGCGCGCCGGCCTCCCCGAGAACCCTGGCCGCCCGGCGGTGGCGTGGGTGGACATCGGCGAGAGCGGCGGCATCAGCATGGGCTCGTGCTACCTCTGGCACTCGGAGGGCCCCGCACCCAGGAACCTGGCGGCCCTGGCGGCCTTCGGCGCGCTTGTGGACGCCACGGGCATGCAGTGGGTCATAGGGGGCGACCTCAACGTCATAGCAGCTGTACGAGAGCGGGGCGATCGACAGACTGAAGGAGGTCATCATCCGACCGAGCGAGGGCACGTGCAGGGTGCCAAAGAGGGAGGCCAGCACCCGCGACTTGTTCATCGCGTCGAGGAGGCTGGCGCAGACGGAGCACGCGACGGTGGAGAAGGACCTGGCCATGCGCGCCAGATGCAGCCCGCACTTCCCCGTCTCGTGTTGGCTGGGCAAGAGTGCCCCAGCATGCAAGGTGACGCTGCTGGCCAAGATCGCGCGCTGGCCGCTGGACATACCGCAGGGATGCGCGGCAGCCCCCATCGAGTGGCCCATCGGCCCCGACCTCGAGGGCAACGCCGAGCAGCAGGAGATCGACGCGCACTGGGAGAGCACCGCGAAAGCCTACGAGTCCAACCTGAACCGCTACCACGGCTTCGCGGACAGTGACCTGACGAGGCAGGGCCACTTCCAAACGGAGCAGGTCTGGGAGGTCACGCTGGCGCCAGTGCGCAAGCCACCGAGCGGCGCCCCGACCAAGCGGGCCGCCACGGCGGAGTGGAAAGCAGCTCCAGCTGAAGTAGGCATACCAGGAGGTCATCGACATGGACCTCCTGCCGCTGACGGCCGCCGAGCAGGGAGCACCGAAGGCGCGGCCCGACGGCACCGCGGCGGACAACTGGCAGAACATGAAGTGGGCGATCACCAACCTCGGGGACGCCAACGACACGCTGAGGGACGGGGCGCCGCACATGGAGTACTGGGCGCTCAAGGCTGGCGAGGCTGCCGACCGGGAGCGCAGGGCAGCCCTCGCCAAGGCGACGGCGGAGTGGAGGCAGCGGGTGCAGTCGCACTCGGTGGGCGGAGCGGGGCCGCTGCACAAGTGGACCGAGCCGTCGGCGCCATGGACGCCGATCGGGCCGCCGCCCTCGTCTCCAGCGGCACCGCGCTGCGGCGACCCCCAGCGCTCAGCGGACGAGGTCCTGGAGGGCCAGGGGGGGGGGTCTGGCGCAGGCCTGCAGGGGGCCACGCTCCCCTGCAGGAGCGCCCACCGCCTCGCGAGCCGAAGCTGGCGCCGCTGGCCCCCGCCGAGGCACGCCAGCACTGCGCGGGCTTCAAGAGGCAGACGGGCTTGGGCGCGGGGCAGCGGCCCCCGCGCCTGTGGGCCGCGGCAGGCGCCGAGGGCACCCAACGCATCATCGACGTGCTCGACGCGGTCGAAGACGGCGCGCCATGGCCGCCCAGCCAGTCGGACATGCTGTTCTACAACATGCCGAAGGCAGAAGGCGGGGGCATGAGATGCCTAGGCCTGCTGCCAGAGCAGGCGCCCCATCATTGCCGAGAGGGAGGCCTGCCACAGGAGAGACTACGACTGGTCACGCGCTGGACGCAGCAGCGAGCGCGGCGCCTGGATGCAACAGTTGTTCTGCGAGGCAGGCCGCGGCCAACAACGCGAGTTACGCTATCACTCTGCTGGGCCTGGTCAAATGCCTCGAATGCGTGAGCCCCTGGAAGGCCTGGGAGGCTGGCCGGCACTGGGGGGGTTCCCCGCGCGCCCGCTGCGCGCGGTCCTTCGCATCTGCGGGATGACCGGGAGGGTGGTGCTGGAGGGCGCGGTCGCCATGGGCAGGCGCTGGTGGCAGGGCCTCGCGGCGGGCCCCGTCTTCGCGCCAGTCGCCCTCAAGTGGGTGCCGATGAAGGAGCCCGACACAATCCAGCTGGACAACAACCTCGCGGAGCTGCGCATGCTCTTCGACGAACTGTCGATCGCACGCATGGGCGAGCGCCGCTGGGTTGCAGCTGAGCACGCGAGAATGGTCAGCCTCGTCACCGACCGCCAGGAGAATGAGCTCGAGATGCCAGTCTCCGTGGGCGACAAGGGGAAAATAGTGCTGTTGATGCAGTCCACAGCGCTGACCAAAGACATGGAGCCCACGACCAAGAGGATCGGGATCAGGACCGTGAGCCACGCCCAGCACCTAGGCATCACTGTCTGCGCAGGTCGTCGCCGCCGAGTGTCCGCTGTACAAACGAGAATCCTGAAGTGGAAGAGTCGTGGGAAAAAAAATATGCTAACCGAGTTCCCCACATAAAGATATTAACGGTCTCGTGGGACTCATGGGGTACGACAACATCAACACGAAGGAGAAGCTGGAGAGGTGGGGCCTCCCTGGGGAGGTGGGAAGGGCACCAAACCATGAAAATAGTATGGGTTTCCGATACCCTCCTCGCTCAGGCGGGGCCTCCCTGGAGGGATGGGAGGGGCACGAAACCATGTAAATCATATGGGTTTCCGATACCCTCCTCGCTCAGACGGGGCCTCCCTGGAGGGGTGGGAGGAGCACGAATCCATGTAAATAGTATGGGTTTCCGGTACCCTCCTCGTTAAGGCAGTGCCTCCCTGGAGGGGTGGAAAACGGGCACGAAACCATGTAAATAGTATGGGCTTCCGATACCCTCGCAGTTCAGGCGGGGTCTCCCGGGAGAGGTGGGAAGGGCACGAAACCATGTAAATAGTATTGGTTTCCGACGCCCTCCTCGCTCAGGCGGGGCCTCCCTGGAGGGGTGGGAGGGGCACGAAACCATGTAAACAGTATGGGTTTCCGATGCCCTCCTCGCTCAGGCGGGGCCTCCCTGGAGGGGTGGGAGGGGCACGAAACCATGTAAATAGTATGGTATTCCGATACCCTCCTCGCTCAGGCGGGGCCTCCCTGGAGGGGTGGGAGGGGCACGAAACCATGTAAATAGTATGGTATTCCGATACCCTCCTCGCTCAGGCGGGGCCTCCCTGGAGGGGTGGGAGGGGCACGAAACCATGTAAATAGTATGGTATTCCGATACCCTCCTCGCTCAGGCGGGGCCTCCCTGGAGGGGTGGGAGGGGCACGAAACCATGTAAATAGTATGGTTTCCGATACCCTCCTCGCTCAGGCGGGGCCTCCCTGGAGGGGTGGGAGGGGCACGAAACCATGTAAATAGTATGGTTTCCGATACCCTCCTCGCTCAGGCGGGGCCTCCCTGGAGGGGTGGGAGGGGCACGAAACCATGTAAATAGTATGGGTTTCCGATACCCTCCTCGCTCAGGCGGGGCCTCCCTGGAGAGGTGGGAAGGGCACGAAACCATGTAAATAGTATTGTTTTCCGATACCCTCCTCGCTCAGGCGGGGCCTCCCTGGAGAGGTGGGAAGGGCACGAAACCATGTAAATAGTATGGTTTTCCGATACCCTCCTCGCTCAGGCGGGGCCTCCCTGGAGGGGTGGGAAGGGCACGAAACCATGTAAATAATATGGTTTTCCGATACCCTCCTCGCTCAGGCGGGGCCTCCCTGGAGAGGTGGGAAGGGCACGAAACTATGTAAATAGTATGGTTTTCCGATACCCTCCTCGCTCAGGCGGGGCCTCCCTGGAGGGGTGGAAATGGTATTGATATGGGAGGCGGGAGGCGGGAGGGAGAAGGAGAGGATGTTCTGGGAAAACAAGAACCCCACTCAGGATATGGCGAATAAAAAAGGCTGCGATAGAGAAAAGAGCTGGAGGCGAAGCGAACAAGCTGGTCACGGCAGCAGCAGTGCCCTCCATCCTCTACTGCATGAGAGTGGCAGCACCGCCCACATCGACAGTGCAGCAGCTGCGCCAAGCCGTCGCGAGCTCTGTCGGCGACAGCGTGGCAGGGCGGTCAGCGCCACTTGTTTTGCTGAGCGAGGGCGTGGACCCCGCGCACGTCACCAACATAGGCCCCATCGTGGACTGGGCCACCGCTTGGAAGGAACCAGTACACGACCCAGCGCTAGCGGACCGACTCACGGCCGCTTGGAAGCGCTGGAGCATTCGCCTGTCGCAGTCCGCACGGCCATGGACATTGGCCCGAGGCCCCGCGGGAGCATTGTTGGCCACGGCTCGCAGGCTGGGCTGGCAATCGCAGGCGTCTTTCTCGCTCACCATAGGCGTGGTCAGTGCTGATTTGCACCTGGCCGGCGCATGGTGGCTACACGAGCAGGTTGTGCAAGAATGTGAACAGCAGCTCCAGCGAGAGTGGACTCGACGCTGGGGTGCGGAGGCAGGCGTTTATCGAGCCAGTGCGGGCCCTTTTGGCCAGACCAGTGTCAAAAGCTTGGCCATCGGAGCATCACACTGGGGCACGTACGATCCTTGCTGGAGGAATGCGGGGTCAGGAGCGCCTCTTTGCCAAGGGGGCCGCCTCCAGCAACAGATGCGTCGCGTGCGGCGGCCAGGGATCAGACAAGCATCGATTATACTGCTGCCCAGCGCGACAGAGCGCGAGACAACAAGCAGGCCACCCAGAAGTGCAGCCGCGTGGGGCCACCGGCGCACCCACAGTTGCAAACGAGCACCGCTGGGGTCGAGGCATCGTGCAGGACCCCTGCACAGCGCTCCCAGACATGGGGATCTCTGACCGAGCCACGCCGATAGGCACAGCCCCAGACATCCTCACGAGTGACGTCTCCGTTGATGGCTCGCAGTTGCATGGCAAGCACGGCCCCATCAGACGTGCGGGGAGGTGCTATGCGCGATCACTGGCAGCGGAGAACATACCTTCGCCATGCACGGGCCGCTGCCGCGGCCACAAGCAGAGCAGTCAATGTTCTGTGCTGAGTTGCACGCAGCATGCATGACTTTGAAGGCTGGTATGGCGCTGCTCCGTATCTGGTCAGATTGCAAAACGTTGTAGACGGCTTTGCTCGCGGGAAGGAACGGTGCACTCGCTGCTCGAACCCGCATGCCAGCCAATGGATATGGGCTTGGCACCTAGTAGAGGAGCTAGGCGGATTGGGCCCTCGGATGGGCCAGATAGGAACAAATAAGGCCCATGCCACAGTGGCCGAGCGTCAGGCTATGGGCACGACGCACGTCCAGGGCCACAGGGCGGCCGATAGGGGAGCCAAGCTAGGAGCAGCCTCTCTAGTGTACCCCGAATGGCACTTTGAGAAATACCTGTGCGAGCTTAAGCTAGTCCAGAAACTATGTTGCAATGTAAGGCAAAAGTCCTAGCACTGCCGTCTGATGTAGTAGGCACGGTAAAGGACGGGCCGCTGGCTGCAGGCCTCGAGTACTGGAGGGACGAGCACTAAGGTCGTGGATCGTCGTGGGGGGTCGGGGAAGCGGACGGGGCTTGTGAGGAGGCTGGACACCCCCTGGCCAGGAGGGCCTCCAGAGGGAGAGTTCCCCGACGAGGCCATCCGAGCCGAGCTGGTGCGAAAAAACCGTCACCAGCTCGTGACTCGGCAAGGCTATACTTTCTGCCGAGCGTGTGCTTGCTACGCTCAGAAGCGTTGGCAGAATATCAGCAATAGCGAGTGCAAGGGTCACAGGGACAACGCACAGGGTCGCTTGAATCGAATCGTCTGTGGAAGGGCCAGCACCCGACCACGGATAGGCCCATGAAATAATCTCTCCAGGGCCTCTCCAGGTCCCTTCTACACGGTAGAGAAAGGACGCTGTAAGATGTTTACTCCTGGTTAATCCTCCTCCTCCTCCTCCTCCTCCTCCTCCTCCCCTCCACCTCCTCCTCCTCTCCTCCTCCTCCTCCTCGTCCTCCTCCTGCTCCTCCTCCTCCTCATCATCATCATCATCCTCCTCGTCCCTCTTTCCTTCTCCTCCTCCCTCCTCCCCTCCTCCTCCTCCTCCATATCCCTCCTCCTCCTCCCTCCTCCTCCCTCCTCCTCCTCCATACTCAATATCCACTCCTCCTCCTCCCTCCTCCTCCTCCTCCTCCTCCTCCCCTCCGCACTCCTCCTCCATCTCACTCATCTCTCCTCCTCCTCCGCCTCCTCATCGTCCTCCTCGACTCCTCCATCCTCCCTCACTCCTCCCTCTCCTCCTCCTCCTCCTCCTCCTCCCTCCTCCTCCTCGACTTCCTCCATCTCCTCCTCCCTCCCCTCCTCCTCCTCCTCCTCCATCTCCTCCTCCTCCTCCGCCTCCTCCGCCCCTCCTCTTTCCCCCCTCCTCCCTCCTCCTCCTCCTCCTCCTCCTCCTCCTCTCCTCCTCCTCCTCCTCCTCCTCCTTCCTGCCTCCTCCTCGCCTCCTTCTCCTCCTCCTCCTCCTCCTCCTCCTCCTCCTCCTTCCTCTTTCCCTCGCCTCCTCCTCGCTCCTGCTCCTCCTCCTTCCGCCTCCTCCGCCTCCCCTCCTCTCCTCCTCCTCCTCCTCCTCTCTCCCCTTTCCTCCTCCTCCTCTTCCGTCCTGCTCCTCCTTCCCCTCCTCCTCCTCCTCCTCCTCCTCCTCCTCCTCCTCCCTTCCTCCCCACCTCCCCTCCGCCCCTCCTCCCCCTCCTCCTCCTCCTCCTCCTCTCCTCCTCCTCCTTCTCCTCCCTTCCTCCTTCGCCCTGCCAACCTCTTGCTGGCTCCCCCTCCTCTCCTCCTCTCCTCCGCCTCCTCCTCCTCCTCCTCCTCATCATCATCATCATCACATCATCATCATCACATCATCATCATCATCATCATCATCATCACATCATAATCAGCATCATCATCAGCATCACCACCATCATCATCATCAGCATCAGCATCATCACCATCAGCATCATCATCATCATCATCAGCATCATCATCATCATCATCATCAGCATCATCATCATCATCAGCATCATCATCATGATGATCATCATCATCATCGTCATCATCAGCATCATCATCACCATCATCAGCATCAGCATCAGCATCAGCATCATCAGTATCATCAGCATCGTCAGCATCATCATCATCATCATCATCATCATCAGCAGCATCATGATCATCATCAGCAGCATCATCATCAGCATCATCATCATCATCAGCATCATCATCATCATCGTCAGCATCATCTTCCTCTTCGTCTTCATCATTATCATCATCAGCAGCATCACCATCATCATCTCCTCAGCATCACATCATCACCAGCATCAGCATCATCATCATCATCAGCATCATCATCATCACCAGCATCATCATCGCAATCATCATCGTCATCATCATCAGCTCATCATTATCAGCATCATCAGTATCATCAGCATCGTCAGCATCATCATCATCATCATCAGCATCATGATCATCATCAGCAGCATCATCAGCATCAGCATCATCATCATCAGCATCAGCATCCTCATCATCATCCTCATCATCAGCATCATCATCGGCATCATCATCATCACCACCATCATCATCATCAACCGCATCATCATCATCATCATCACCATCAGCATCATCATCATCATCAGCAGCATCAGCATCATCATCAGCATCATCATCATCATCAGCGACAGCATCATCATCATCAGCAGCAGCATCATCATCAGCATCATCATCATCATCATCATCATCATCATCCTCATCATCATCATCATCATCAGCATCATCATCATCAGCATCATCATCACCATCAGCATCATGATCATCAACAGCATCCTCATCAGCATCACCATCACCATCGCCATCATCATAATCATCAGCATCAACATCAGTATCATCATCATCAGCATCAGCCGCTCATCATCATCAGCTCATCATTATCAGCATCATCAGTATCATCAGCATCGTCAGCATCATCATCATCAGTATCAGCATCACGATCATCATCAGCAGCATCATCAGCATCAGCATCATCAACATCAGCATCAGCATCCTCATCCTCATCCTCATCATCATCATCAGCATCATCATCGACATCATCATCATCACCACCATCATCATCATCATCAACAGCATCATCATCATCACCATCAGCATCATCATCATCATCAGCAGCATCAGCATCATCATCAGCATCGTCATCATCATCATCATCATCATCATCATCATCAGCGACAGCATCATCATCATCATCAGCAGCAGCATCATCATCATCATCATCAGCAGCATCATCATCATCATCAGCATCATCATCACCATCAGCATCATGATCATCATCAGCAGCATCATCAGCATCACCATCACCATCGCCATCATCATAATCATCAGCATCAACATCAGTATCATCATCATCATCAGCATCAGCCGCACCATCGCCATCATCATCATCATCATCAACAGCATCACCATCATCATCATCATCCGCATCAACACCAGCCTCGTCAGCAGCATCATCCTCAGCATCATCATCATCATCATCATAATCATCATCATCATCGTCATCATCAGCATCATCATCATCAACAACCTCACCATCTTCACCACCATCATCCGTATCGTCGTCAGCATCATCCTGATCATCCCCATCAACACCCTCGTCACCACCATCACCATCACCAGCATCAGCATCGTCACCATCGTCATCATCATCGTCGAAATCAGCATGATCCTCAGCATCATCAGCAGCCGCATCCTCATGATAATCATCACCCTCACCATCGCCATCACCCTCACCATCAGCAGCAGCATCGCCATCATCATCAGCATCATCATCATCATCAGCATCCCTAGCATCATCAATATCGTCAGCATCATCATGATCATCAGCATCGCCATCATCATCATCAGCAGCATCAACAGCATCATCAATATCCATCTCTTCCCCCTCCTCCTCCTCGTCCTCTTCCTCCTCCTCATCATCAACCTCCATCTCACTCATCCCTCCTCCTCATCCTCCTCCTCCTCTTCCTTATCCTCCTCCTCTTCCTCTTCCTCCTCCTTTCCTCCTCCTCCTCCTCCTCCTCCTCCTCCTCCACCTCCTCCTCCTCCCCCTCCTCCCCCTCCCCTCCCTTCCTCCTCCTCCTCATCCTCTCCTCATCCTCCTCTTCCATCTGACTCCGCCTCCTCCTCCTCCTCCTCCTCTTCTGTCATCTCACTCTCCGCCTCCTCCTCCTCCTCTTCCATATCACTCCTCCCTCCTCCTCCTCCTCCTCCTCCTCCTCCTCCTCCTCCTCCTCCTCCTTTCTCCTCTTCCTCCTCCTCCTCCTCCTCCTCCTCCTCTTCCATCTCACCCCTGCTTCCTCCTCCTCCTCCTCCTCCGCCTCCTCCTCCTCCTCCGCGTTCTCCGCACACATACCCTTTTCGTGTAAATAACGCC